TCATGATCTCGCGGTCTGTGAGTTTGAGCCCCATGTCAGGCTCTGTACTGACAGCTTGGAGCCTGGAGCCTGCTCCCGATTCTGTGTCTCCCTCTCTTTCTAGCCCTCCCCTGTTCGCGCTCTGTCTCTGTCTTTCAAAAATGAATAAATGTTAAAAAAAATTTTTTTTTAATAAATAAGTAAACTTATAAAAATAAATTTAATCCTTCACTTTGGAGATGAGTTATCCACCCACACAAACTCATCCAGCTGCTTTAGTACCATAACCTGGTTTCTTGAGTGACCTCAATTTGTATGAAGATGTTAAAGGCCACCATACCCACATAGGTTGTGTGATGTTTCTTCATTGATCTACTTATTACTACATTTGACAAATATTTGTACAGTATCTGCCAGATGCAAATCATGGTGCCAAGCACCATGGAGCCTCTGGAGATCAGTTAGATGACCTTTGCTTACAAGGATCAGTAATAGGGTCTTGCCTCGCTTAGAGTCTAGCAAGCTTGTGAGGTTGATAAGCACTAACCGCAATATGAGGGAGGCTGTGTGATGGCCCAAAGGACAGATGCAAACACGGCTTCAGGAATTCCAAAATCAGAAAGAATATTTATGGTCTAGAGAATCACGGGGAGCTTCCTGGAGGGAGGTGCCTTTTGAGCTGGACCTTATCAGGTGGGGAGAATTTCAGTAGGTAGAGATGAAGTTGGGAACTTAACTTGAAGAGAAGAGCAGAAATACAAAGACCAGGAGGGACTCCATAGACACGTTTTTAGTGAGATGGCGGCATTCACGTTTGTAGCATATCCCGTCTCTTGCTTTGCAGATCAATGAGCTGAGCAATGTCCCCGTCCCTGTCATGCTAATGCCAGATGACTTCAAAGCATACAGCAAGATCAAGGTGGACAATCATCTCTTCAATAAGTAAGTTACCTACTGAGTGGGCTCAGGTTTATGTGGGCAGTCCTTTCCCTCAAGGCAGAGAGCTCCTGAAAACTGGCGCACGATAGTGCCAAGCCAGCGCCTGGCAGGGTGTGACAGGGACACCTGGATCTCAGAGCTGACAGACTGGCAGGGAAAATCCATTCATTATGGGCCTCTCCCCTTTGCGGTGTTCTGTCATCGCCTTTGTCTACCTGCCTCCGGTGTCCTGCAGGGCATGTGGCCAGGCCCAGGGTGATTCATCTGGGGCCAGGTTAGGTAGCAGTGAGCTGCTCACGAGCTGTGGTGTCTAGTGTGAGGCTGACAGCAGTGGCCCTATCTTGATCTCCGTCTGAGGCAAGAAGCTGCCAGACATGTTCCTGGCCCGGAATGCAGCCAAGCTCTTCCCTCTCCAACGGGTGTGTGAAAGACAGGCCGAGCATGGGGCCCAGGGGCGCCATCCAAAGTAATTCTTCCCACTTTCGTTCACTGTGGCTTCTGGGATCGGCACTGGGGTCGGAAGCTTGTCTCAGGTTGTTGGAGCAGCCATCTCACCTGGTCCAGTGTGGGGCTGGCTCTGAGCCCTCTGGAAGCCTCACGTTTTCATCCTACTGTGGGTCACCCCGGGAACCATTCGCTGTGCACACTCCCCTCCGTTCTGCATTTGCATCCTGGCTCCACTTTCCATTGCCCCACCGTCCCCGCACCTCACCAGCTGGGCTCTGTCACCCCACCATTGCCAGACTGCTAGCCTGGAGGGAAGCTTGATTTGAAAATATCCCTTAGTGGCCTCTCTGCCACAGTAAGTAATAACGACATCTTATTCTAGAAGACATCTGTCTTCATGGCTAAGCGGCCACCTGTATAGATGGAAAACTCCTGTGTTTCTCACACCACTACCACACGTCACTTCACTGGGTTTTCCACACGTCAAGCAATTCTGTAGGACACTAGTCGGGTGCCCTGCCAATTCAGTTCAGCTCTGACACTGTCCACCTGCAGTTAGCATCAGGCCCCACAGGTGAAGAGCTTAGTCCCACAGAACTGCCCCCCACCTTCAGACGCCATTCGCAAATCTAGGTCGTCACCTGGGCTTCTGACCAGCCTGCTGTGGGGCCCATGTTCCCCCGACCCTCCCCCTTGGGTTCGGTTAATTTGCTGGAGGGGCTCACAGAACTCAGGAAAACAGTTTATTTACTTGATTACTAGTTTATCATCAAGGGTACAGCTCAGGAAAAACCAGTTAGAAGAGACACATGGGGGAAGGTATGTGGGAAGGGGTGCGGAGGTCCCATGCCCTCTCCAGGTACACCGCCCTCCCCACACCTGCATGCGTGCAACACCTGCGAACTCCGGAGCCCTGTCTTCATTAAGAAGGCATGATTGAGGAAATCGACTGGTGATTGGTTCAGCCTCTAGCCCCTCTCCCCTCCCTGCCATCCAGGGAGTGGGACTGAAAGTTCCAGCCCTCTCATCCTGGTTGGTTCCCCTGGCAACCAGCACCTATCCTTTGAGGCTTTCCAAAAATCACCTTATTCACATAAGCTCAGATGTGGTTGAAAGGGGATTGTTATGAATTAAAAAAAAAAGACCTCTTTATTGCTCTTATGACTTAGGAGATTCCAAGGTTTTTAGCTGCTCTGTGTCCGAAACAGGAATGAAGACCAAATATATATATTTCTTATTATACCACAATATCACACCCGGTAAGGAAGAAGAGGCAGCCCTTGGCTCTGAGGCAGGAAAGGAGATTGTTCTTTCCCAGGGGTCAGGGCTCTGGAAGTGGGCATCGAACCACTGCCCATTTCAGGGTCCGTGGCCTCTGGTGAAGTTCCGGGACCTTGACATCTTGGCCTAAGGCAGAGCATCAATTTCTTCTTTTCTTTCTTTGTTCCTTTTGACCTTCCAACGACTGTTTATGTGCTAGTTATTAGCCTGCAGTGCTCCTTACTAAAAGATGGGTACATGAGGCAGACCAGGCCCCTGCCCTCATGAGAAGCCACTGCTTTTTTATTTCCTCGAAGTATATCATCCTGGAGTAGTCAGAGGGATGTATTTCTCAAAGGGACCCCCCAAGGAAGGTGGCCATTGTAAAGACGGAGGATTTGGAGGAGGCATCCCTTCAAGGTGATTCTCTACCCTCCTGGGAGTCTGAGTTTTTGACCAAGGAGTGGGAAGGGTTGAGGTTGGTGCCAGCAGCCCACAGACAAGGCTTCCTGAAAAGAGAGGATTCCAGTCATTTGAGATCTCTTTAATCCGAAGCACCCTTGTCCTCTGTCCCGGGGGAAGCCCAAGGCAGGGCCTCAGGACGTGTTGATAGCAGCGTCCCCGAGGAGAGGGTCCCGTGGTGGAGGAAGTCCGCTCCGTTTAGCAGTCAGACTGCTGTCTGCCTCACAACTGCTGTTCCCATGCAGCCATTGACAGGTAGCAAGTACAGCTCTCGTGCAGGAAGGGCCTGCACTCTGTCTCACTTCTTGGCAGGTAAGGTTTTTTCCCTTTAATGTCGATTTCGTCTAAAGATAACACACAGGAAAAGTACACAGATTGTAAGTACACAGCTCGACTAATTTTTACCAAGTCAACACAAGGGATGTAAAGTTTTAAAACTCTCACGTGCTCAGAATCACCAGGAGTATTTGTTAAAAATGCAGTTTCCAGACTCCTCTCCAGAATTTCTGGGGCCTAGAAACCTCCATTCTAAGCGCCACAAATTGTTCCGATTCTGATGACCTGTGGACCAAACCCACAGAAGTTCTGATGTAAGGATTAGACGGGCAAGGAGAGGCTCACAAAGACATTTCTCTGCTTTGCCCTAGGGAGAACCTTCCCAGCCGTTTTAAGTTTAAGGAGTACTGCCCCATGGTGTTCCGGAATCTCCGGGAGAGGTTTGGGATTGATGATCAGGATTACCAGGTACCGGGTGTCTTTGCAAAGTCGGAGGGGTCAGGGAGTGAAGTGGGGCCAGGAAGCCACAGGACGAGGAGAGGCAAGACTGGTCCACCGTTCTTATGCTACATCTTCCTGTCCTGTCCTGCTCCCGCCCACCCGGCGGTCTTTCCCCCGGTGCTGGCAGGCTTCTGGAGGGGTGAGGGCCCTGGAAGTGGTTCTGAAACTGCCTCGAAGGCTCAGGCTGTCTCCCTGGGAGGGAGAGGCGCGGGAGGGAGAGGGCTGCGGAAGCTGCTTCATCTCAGTCTGACATTCCCAGTCTAGGCCGAAGAACCCTTCTCCTTCGTAGTTTGACTTAAAAGAGAATTGTTGCCAGCGGGAGATGAGGCCTCTTAAAGCAGATAAGACAGAGTAGAAAAGGAAGACTTCAAGGGTAGTGTAACCTTGCCAGGTATGAGTGCCACCTCCTAAACTTGTCCCCTGTCCTCTGTTGGGAGGGGGGGATTGGCGAGACTGGTGACTGCCCCCTCCAGGGGCTGATAATGCCATAGAGGCCTTTGGCCTGCTGGAAGGAATCAGTCCCAGTATCAGGGACGTTATAGTCTGACTCCTAGTGTGTGGTTTCTGTTACTGCTCCGCCTAGCACCTTCCTTGGACCTTCTCCCCCTGGCAGATAGCCTGCTGGTGATGGTGGGAGAATTTTCCACTTCACTTTGGTAGCAGTTAAGAAATACAACTGACTTTCAGTTGTCTGGGGGGGCAGGGGGGGAAGAAAAAAAAGGAGTGTACAGCCTACTGAAATCGAAAATGGACGCCCGAATCTTTTTAGAGACCATAACACCTCCCGGCCTGGTCCCAGTAAGCCCTTCATAGCGTAGTTCCTGAGGAGCAGAACGCGCCTCGGTGAGTCCCCCTGCCCTCCCCCTCCGCTCTGGAGGGCCTCCTGCAAAGACGCCATCCCCGAGAGGAGGGCACGGGGATGTGGGAGGAGGAGATGCCAGGCCCGGAACGGTCAAGAATGGCTGTGTCTAGGAGGTACTGGGAGGTCCCTCCAGCCCCGTCTGTTCGGACTGAGCCCTGAGCTGAATCACGACCTGATTGGAGCTGGAGGTTTTCTGAAAACTCTTGCCACTACTGCAACCCCACGTTGCTCGGACGTCTTCCTCCCGCCGTGGCCCCTTCCCTTCCCCTCGGTATTCTAACCACATCCTCTCGGTGTCTGCATTTTTCCTCTAATAACCTTGTGGGCGAATGATTGTGCTCACAACTGACAGAGGCAGGGCGGGCGTAGTTCAGAGAGGGGACTCGAAGGATTTGGAGTCAGAAAGCGCTGCCTGCAGACAAGGCAGCAGTGGAACCTTCCTTTGCACCTGGGCTGGAGGCCTGCATGTCTGACTGGGAGAAGGACCAGGCTGGGAGGGTGAGGCCCTCAGCTGTGTAGCCTACTCAACATTTCTGGGTCGGGGACACCCTGCTTTGGGGATGCCCTTTTAATTCAGGGAGCATCTCACCATGTCACATTTCAGTCTCCCCATGACGGTGGTGCTCCCTCCTTCCCCCGGGGTCCCGTGAGGAGGCATTCAGTGAGGGGAAAGCATCGAATCCTAGGTAAGAGCTGAGGAAAGGGCTTGGAGAGGAGGCGTTTCTGTGAGCAGATCCCCACATGTGTGCTTGGGAACGGGGACATCTGGGACCTCCCTCTCTGCCTCACCTTGCAAAGGTCTGCTTGGTGAACACATCCCTTTGGTTGACTCACGTGTCCCCCGCCACTCCCTCTAGAGGCTTCTACTGCTCTCTGATCCTAATGGGAGTAGGGCCTCAAGGAGGAGCGGTGGCACTAAGCTTTGTCTTTGTCGCCCCAGGAAAGTGGGAAAATCATCTCCGTCTGCCTCGTGTTCCAGGTCAGGGAATTCAGGAGTGGACAAGTTAAATGGCTCACCCAAGGTCATGTTACGTGTGAGCGTCAGGATTCAAGCTCAGCCCCAACGTCTGAGGCAGAGATTTAGTTTACAGGGCAGTTCTAGGGGGTCAGAATGAGAGGAAGTGTCTCATAGTCAGCCCTCTTCCCACCCAGTCAGGGATTAGGAGCTGGTGGAAAGGAACAGCTCTTGTCACTCTGCAGGAGGACTTTCGGGAGAGAGGTGAACTTCCGGTGAGGCAAGGGGTGGGTAAGGCCCTGCCTGTCTCGGCGTGGCTGGCTTCAGAGCAGTCTGGCCCAAGTAAAGGTCAGAGTCTTTGTTCCCCTCCCAAGACCAGCCCGCTTTTGTCTTGGTCCGTCAGAATTCGGTGACGCGCAGCGCCCCTATCAACAGTGACAGCCAGGGCCGATGTGGCACACGTTTCCTCACCACCTACGACCGGCGCTTTGTCATCAAGACTGTGTCAAGTGAGGATGTGGCTGAGATGCACAACATCTTAAAGAAATACCACCAGGTATGGTGAGTCCCGAGCCTGGGCGGTGGAGGAAGGATGGCAAGAGGGAGAAGAGAGCCCCTGGGGAGGGACGGGTCCTCTCACAGCGGCCCACACCTCCTGAGAACCAAGCACTTGGCCCTTCCCGGTGCCATGTGTCTGTGAGCTGAAATGCCTACTGGAAAAAAGGGAAAAAGGAGACATGAAGGCGTGTTACCGATTCAGTCCCATCGAACAGCTGCTTCTTGTCAGAGTCGGGAAGTTTCACACTCGGGCACCTGCCGCGTGTCTTCTAAAAGAGGCCCTGTGGGCTCGGCAGGCTCGCTGCTTCCCCCTTCTGACTCCCCGCTCATCAGGAACCGGTCCCGGAGAAAAGCAGGGGGCGGTGCGGCGGCCTGCTTGCGTCTTCAGGGAAAGCTGGCTTGTCTCTGGGGCCCCTGAGAAGTGGTGAAAGGGACTCCTGGTCTTTGGGGGGACAACGAAAACCCTGCCCGTGGCATGGCTGAGGCCTCCCGGTGCAGGGCCGTTCATTTTTCCCGGACAGCCGGACGGCAGCCCCGCCTCTGCACGCCCCGTGCCCTCCGGCTTGCCCGTTCAGGCCGGCAGAGGAGAGGCCAGACCCGTCTGAGGTGCTGACACACCTCTGAAATGGCAGACACGTTCAGTGGCGTCCCAGTAGTGCGAAACCAGAAGGGCTCTGCGACTGCCTCAGCCTCTCCCTCTGCCATGCCCGCTGGGGGCGGGGGTGGCCATGGCCCGCTGTATGTCCAGGAAACCCCTGTGACTTCACAGGACCCCTTTGAAACCGACCGGTCTGGGAGCTAGACTCCCTGGGAGCGTCTGAGCCTGGGGCGAGCCCCGTCCGTCCTGGCACCTTCACACGTTCCTCAGCATCCGCCTTCCTCCCTTCGCTCTAGTTCATTGTGGAGTGTCACGGCAACACCCTTTTGCCGCAGTTCCTGGGCATGTACCGCTTGACCGTGGATGGCGTGGAGACCTACATGGTGGTCACCAGGAACGTGTTCAGCCATCGGCTCACTGTGCACCGCAAGTATGACCTCAAGGTAAAGGGCTCTGTGGCCGCCCTCCCACGTGTCGGGAGAGCCGGGGCACGGTTTTGGCGTGGACGGGAGACTCGGGAGTTGATGTGCCTAATTCTTACGGGTCAAAGGCTGTTTGAGGTCCAGATGACAGTGACAGGGGGTTATTTATCGTACCATATTTATGGCACGGTCGATGTCCTTCAACTCCTGTCAGTGGGACGTGCACGCCGAGGGCAGCGCTTTAGGGACAGGCTGTGCTGATACACGCACTCAGGCGTGTGTCCGGGCCCCGCGGACTGACAGCACAAGCACGGTTCTGGACACGGAGAGGAACACGCTTGTGACTGTGAGCCACCGTGCTCCACTGTTCTCGAAGCTGGCTTCCTGACGTGTCCCCTCACACCTCTCTCTCCCTGCTACAGCCATGAGGGTTTCTTTCCATTCCAGTGCCTGTGCTCTCCTCCTCCAGCAGCTCGCGCGGGCTGCCTGGCCTGCGTTCCCTCCCTGCCCTTTTCTCCACCTCCACCAGCTCCCACCTCATTGCTTCCTGCTTTCCCTTCTGGGCTCAGCTCAGATATCACTTCTTGCAGGAAGCCGGCCTTGGCCTCCACCGCTGTCCCTCCCCAGTCTGGACCCGCCCTGTGCTAGTGCTCTTGGTGTCCTCCTCCCTCGTACCACCTAGTACTATTGTAACTAACGGATTAATTAGTCGCATAACTGCTTCTTACTGCCTGTCTCCCCTGTTAGAAGGAGAGTCCCCTAAGGGCAGGGACCGGGTCTTGGTTCGGGGCTGTTGGCCCAGCACGTGCCTAGTGTCCGATCAGAGCTCGGTCAGTGGTCCGTGACACGGGAAGTGAACAAGTTGCTGCCTCCTGGCCTCTAGGACTCTAACCAGCCTCCTTCAGTTCACCTGCTGCCTCTCCCCAAAGACTGGTGCATGTTTTCTCGCTCAAAGGACTTTGCCTCAGCTGGACCTCTCCTGACGGCTCTTATCCTTTCAGGGCTCCACTGTTGCCAGAGAAGCGAGCGACAAGGAGAAGGTATGCCGGGACCTGTACTGAGCGAGTGTGGAATGGGCTGCTTGGAATCAGAAACACCTTCTGTCGGTCACCCTGTCCCTTCCTCCACCACAGCCCCCAGCCCAGTTCCCAGACGTGTGGCCTGTCGGTGCTGTGTCACCGAGCTCCCGCCCATCCTCATCCTCGGCCCCGGCCTCTCTTTCCAGCCTTTAATCTCTACCCTTGCTGGGTTGGTCATCGTCCTACAGGGCTGGCGATCTCTGTCTCATAGTCCAGCCTGAAGTGGGGAGTGGCTGCCTGAGCCCCGAGGTAGTTCCGGCTCAGCAGGAAGACGTGCTTTGGTCAGTCCTCAGTGTCTGACGTATGTCAGATATTTGCCATCCCTGCCTGCCCGAGGCCTGGGACTGTAGCCTCCTGCGCCGAACCTATCGATTGGGCAGGCGACCATCTGTGCTCTAAGGACCCTTCCCTTTCCTGTACCATCACCTCTGGGGGTGAATGGTACCCAGCCTAACACACTGCTGTTGCTCTCCCAGGCCAAGGACTTGCCGACATTCAAAGACAACGACTTCCTCAATGAGGGGCAGAAGCTGCATGTGGGAGAGGAGAGTAAAAAGAACTTCCTGGAAAAACTGAAACGGGACGTGGAGGTACTTACTAACCCTCGTTTTCACCTTGGTTGAGGAGGCCCCCTCTTGTCCTCAGAGCAGGAGCCTGTTCAGCCTTAAGAAAAATTGAATCCGCTACTTTCCAGGAGTGTGGACAAAAGGAAGGCTGGTGATTTGAACAGTGTGGGTGCGAATGAGTATTCCATTGCGGGGGAGACATTTGTGCCGGTGGAAGCTTTGTAACTCAAGTTGGAATGCTTTCCTTCACCTCTTCGCTAATCTATTCCAGCACCTTTTTCAAACGCCCCGAAACTTTCTTTCTGGAGGTGTCCCTGTAGTGGAGAGGGTGGCAACGAGTTGCTGAGATCCACCAAGCAGGCCCTTCTTTGGCTCCCATTCTCCACTTACCCAGCAGCCTTCTGGTGGAACGGGGCTTCCCGTGGAGAAGTTCTTCCAGGGCGGGCAGGTGCTAAATAGTGAACGCGTTACTGGACCGCTTGATAACCCAGTGTTTCCTATTTTAACAAATTGGGAGCCTGCTCATTAAAACGAGACCCTACAAACTTTTAAAATGTTTTCTTTTTTTTATTATTGTGGCAAAATACGCATAAGATAAAATTTGCTGTCTTAACCATTTGTGAGTATATCGTTGAGTGACATTAAGTACATTCACGCTGTTGTGCAGCCGTCATCACCATCCATCTCCAGAACTTTTCATCTTCCCAAACCGAAACTCCGTACTCATTAAGCACTAATTCCCTGTTTCTCCTTCTGCCTAGCCCCTGGCAGCCGTCACGCTGCTTTCTGTCTCTGTGAATCAGACTTTTTTTTTAATGTTTATTTATTTATTTTGGGGGGGGCAGGAAATGTGATTGGGGGAGGGACAGAGGGAGAGGGAGAATCTCAAGCAGGCTCCATGCTGTCAGCGCAGAGCCCAACATGGGGTGTGATCCCATGAACCACAAGGTCATGACTTGAGCCAAAATCGAGGGTCATATGCTCAACTGACTGAGCCACCCAGGCGCCCCGTGAATCGGGCTATTTTAAGTGCTTTATATATAAATGGATTCATACAGTTTTTGTCTTTTGCATCAGGCTTATTTCACTTACCGTCATGTCTTCAAGGTTCATGCATGTTATATATAACACATGTCAAAGTGGCCTTCCTTTTTAGGGCCGAATAATATTCCACTGTATGTTTATACCACATTTCGTTTACCTGTTCATCCATCAGAGGGCAATTGGTTAAGGTTCTCCAGAGAAATAGACTAGGGTGCCGACAGATAGATACACAGACAGACAGACAGACAGATGTTTATTATAAGGAATCAGCTCACAGCTGTAGCTGGCACATTAGAGACCCAGGAGAGTGGGTGGTTGAGAGTGTCGCCCGGCTGTGGCTTTCTTTTTTTTTTTTTTTTT